GAGGAGAGGAGAGGAGAGGAGAGGAGAGGAGAGGAGAGGAGTACTCGAGTTTACAAAATGACTAGAAGTGTAAAAAGCACTTCCAAAAGTGCCCGAGACCTCAAAGGAGTTCAGCTTCTTGAGATTCAATGTTTGAAATGAGTTGGGATTAAATACCTGTCTTTACTGGCCTGGGCCGAAGCGCTTCAGTCACTTTTACAGGCAGGTCTTAGATTCCTAAACCTCTTCTCAGCTTTTGAATATCTCACCCTACACTTCCTTCATTGCAGATCCTGAAGTGACAGTCACCGTCACCGTTTTAAAGGCCGAGTTGGAGTTTAGGAAAGGGAACAAAGTGCACTGTTACGGAGTCTGACAATAAATATTAGCAATTACATGCACCTTAAGTAAGTCCAGAGCATTCTGCTGCTGATGGAAAAGACAGCGGATGTACCGGCTCGGCAGGGGAAAAACCCTGAGTGGTTTGAGTCTTCTCCTCGGGTGGAGGCAGGTGCAGAAAGTGGATCAGCTCAGGTGAAGCACTGAACTAAGCGAGCTGCACAGCTCCCACTGCCAAGAAAACAAATCCTGATTTTCATGGGCATTTACTGTCTCTCAGCTCCTATGCTACACCCATTACCATGCTATCCGAGTACTTCCAAGGTGCATTTAAAAACAAAACCACTGTCTCTCCTAATTGTGCTGCTATTGTGTAGGAGTAATACGCTTGTTTTCACTACAGACTATCATCGTTACTATCACTGTCAAGAAATTACCAGAGGAAAGCTAAGTTAAAAAATGGGCTTTGCATTTAGTTCAGGCCCTAGCATGAACTAGGCGTCATTATCATCTCTTGCAGAAGTGGTTGCTGAAATTTAGATCCATTTCCTGGGAATATTGTATATTTCTCATGCTAATAAGTCTTCCATGGTGCTTAACAACTCAATTATTTCGGTCAAGCACAGTTGTCACAAGAGGTCATGTTTCTAAAAGGTTCTTGTTAGTTTGGGCCAATGTCATGGAGGATTTGGGATAGTCTGAGAAAGAACTTAAAGTGTTTGGTGGGAGTGGGAGGTGGGGAACTGCAGGATTTTTTAATTGTGTACAGCAAAATCGTGCCACTGAGCAGATGGGCTATTTCTGTTCACATTAAGTGGAACTTTTCCAGGATTTTTGGTGTTAGCCCTTGCTATAGCTCACAGCATTTAAGTTGCCTAGGAATCTCAGGGGCATTGCAAGGAGCAATAGGCTGAGACATGATTTCTTGTCTAAGCAGAGGCAGACATGTGCCGTATCTGTTTAACCATCTGATGCCAACATGGAATCTGCGAAGAGCTCGAAGCATTGAACAAACATTATGTCTGGGGAGTAATGCCAGTACTGGAGGGTGAACTAGCAGTTGTAAATCGCCCATCCTGCTTGGGTTCAGCTTCACCCGACTACTGGTCATCTATATGGTGAGACAGGGAGAGAATGGGGAGAATGTTGGGTTTGTTGTTTGCTAAGGGAGAAGTAAAGTAAAGCATCATCCAAATATTACTGGTGCTGAAGCTCAAATTTTGAGGAGTGATGAACTGGAATTTACTAAAGATAAGTAAGACCTGTAAGATGAGGGAGCTTTGTACATGTCTGAAGAAGGTGTTATCCAGCACAGTTCCCTGGGCTTGGTCAGAGTAGGAGAAGCAGCCACTGAAAAGCATTCCTCTTCCCCCCCAGCCCTTTAGAGGTGGGATGCTGGGGGGCTCCAGGAGCAAGACCAGTACCAGTGTAGGTGGGGAGGCAGCACAGCTTCAGGGACGCTCCTGTGTCACCTAACCGGCAGCACAGGATAACGAGTCAGTGCTGACAGGAGACTGGACGACGGGGTTTGAAGAGAAGGAGGCACTTCAGAAAAGTGCAGGGCACGCGGGTGGAAAAAGTCAGACATCCCAGCAAGAATAGTTGTCTCCCTGCCTGACTTCTGGCCTGATGTTTGCCCAAGAGGGAAGTGGGATGGTAACAGTTGAGAGATGAGGGCAACTTTGTGTTTTGTTAGGTTCCTCAATAGCTTCTTTCAAAACAGGTTTTAGGTAATACCCTGTGATATTGCTAACGCACAGTGGTGGTTTCTATGACTGCCATATACTTCACGGTAGGAGTAGATTTTTCTGAATACAGCTTTATGCACATACCTCATTACTTGACAGAAGCCCTAAGGAAAGCAGAAAGAAACAATGCCTTTTTGTGGGAGCAGAGGCAGGAAGGGAAAAGCTGTATGAAATCTATTTTTTTACTCTCCACTAGACAGTCCTTCATTCAACAGAGACAGCAGGAAATAAAACAGTAGAGCAAAGACTTTCCTGTGAGAGTTTTTCTGGCAGGTGCCTAACTGATCACAGTGTCATCTGAGTGATCCGTTAAAAATAAGAGGGAGAGAAAACCAACTCATCTGGGTCTAGGTAAAGACTAAAGAAGTTGAATAAAATTGACCCAGTCTAAGGATTAAGTGCCTTGAGTTGGGATGATCCAATGAAATTGTAAGACAGCAAATTTGAAGTCAACCAGAGAAAATATATTTTCAAACAACATGAATTAGTCCATAGAGTTTGTTGCACAGCAGGGTTCAAAAGTGTACTGGACATATATGTGAGCAACAAAAATTATACTAAATAGTAAGAGTAAACAAACTAAACACTTTTTATACAACCCTCCATTTCGAAGACGTGGACAAAATGTCCCTTCACAAGCTCCTGAAAGGCTCTCTGCACTTTTCTGCAAAACACCTGGTAATCAGTGCTGCCCAAGCCAAGATACAGGACTGGAAGGATCACTGGCTTGATTTCTCCATTCCTGTTTTCCTAAATGTGAGATAGGAACAGACAGCTTGGTGTCTTTATATTTACAGTTCTTTGTCTTTCTGCTTCATCCTTCATTTATTCAGCTGTTCCTGTTCCATATGTTACCATACTGGAAAAGCAAGGTACATTAACTCAGACTTGTAAGAATTTAATTATTACCTGACTTTCATCCCAGCCAGTAAGAAATATATGATAACTTAGAAAATCATTTTTCCCTTTTTCAGCCATTTTTGTTTCCAAATGGAACAGAAGATCAGCAAACCACTCAAATGCTGATGGGTCTCGACAAATCCAGTAAAAATAAACCTGTCAGATAAAAGTAAAGAGATTTAACAAGAAGCAAACTTTCAATAAAACTTCCTAGTGATTAGCTCAACTCATTAACCACATAGTGTGTGACTCTTCTCCACTGGAAATTTAAACATAATTACACATCATTTTGGTGATGTAGTTTCTATCTTTTAAAAATTTCATTTTCTTCTTAAACATTGAGTGAAAATATTAATGTGTGAGTGAAGATAAGCAATGTACAAGTTTCCCATCAGTTTTCCTGCCAGTGCGTATCAACTTTGACTCATAATACCTAACCCTGCATTTCTTGCAAATAACTTTATTATTCTTTGAAATTTTGGATTTATTATTAGTTATGTTTAAGATGGAATTTCAGTTTCATTCAGCACTGAAGCAAGGAATTCCTGTTTCTCAAAACCTTACGCTATAGGTTAACAGTTGATGTGGTCAAAAGACAGTTATGTTCTTCAAGTCAGACACCCTGTATAACACAGGTTACAGAATGCCCCTACTTCTTTTAAAATGTATTTCTTGTTTAAATTGGAGCATATAATTTCTAGAGAAACATGAGACTGTAATTTTAAAGTTGCCAAAGGGGTAAAATGAACCACTATCCCATGATTGGTTTTCTATTGGTTGAAAACCTCCTCTTTATGAAAAATTTACAGTTTTTCTCATCCAGATTTCTCTAGCTTCATCTTCCATATGCTGGATCTTGTTTTAGTTGTCTATTGGATTGGAGAGCCTGTTATTAAAGCTTTGTTCCCCAGGTAGAAATTAGAGGCTGGGATCAAGTCATCCTATAATCCTCTCTATGGTAAACCAAACATTCCTGGGATCTGTCACTGAAAGGCTAATTTTCCATCCTTTAATTATTCCTATGGCTTATTTCTGTCTGTTCCTCCTCTACTGCAGTCAGTCAGAAACAGAGCAGAGAATTTGTTTAAAAAAAAAAAAAAAGCTGATTTGTTAGGATCCTGGCATAGGGTAATGCTTGCATAGGGAATAAAATCTTTCAAACAAGATGGTTAGTCACTGTCTGTAAGATGATGAGAGTTTCTATTTCAAAAGTCCTTGCTGTGGCATCTTCAGCTGGATCAGGTGAGACTCCCCCAACCCCTTTTTCTGCTCAGTTCCTATATTCAGCTGGTCCAGGGACTGTTGTGACCATTCCAGCATGTGCATGATCTTTTGTGATCTATTGTGATCTGTTGTCTTAACTACATACAAAGCATCTTCTCACTAATTAACTATGTATAAAAGACTGTCCTGTGTGACCGCTTCTGCAGGAACAGTTTCTGCTGACCATTTGCTGACCCTGTGGAAGTTAATCAATTTTGCAGCAGGAACTGCCTGCGGAGTCTCAGGACTGGTAAGATTCCCCTCCCAGGATCTTAATCAACACACTGAGACATACAGTTGGCCCAGGCAGAGCAAGAGCTGCCGTAGGGAGTCTTCAGGACAGTTGGAAATTCCCACCTGGAAGCCTCCTCCACCAGTGCTGTGCTGCGCTGCCAAGGGGGTTTTCAGCTCAGTCCCTTCTCTCGAGCTGGTCCAGCTGTGTAGATGACTAGGCTGGGAGTTCCTGCACCACCCAGGGGATGAAGGTCTGAAGTTCCCTGGGTGTCTGCCCAGGCACCAGCCTGATGCCCGGCTGAACCACAATTATAAGACAAATCTGATTGCAATTCTTATAACTCGAGTTCTGTGGCTCTTGCCACACAATCCATCCTTGCTTTTGAACAGAGGGCACCAGACCTCAAATGGGCCTCTGTGGGCAATGTAATTTTGAGTGTAATTATTTTTATAGTGCCTCCAAAGAAATAATTCACAATCATGGAGGAAGCCTAAAAATACACAATTTCAGATGAAAAAGAAATGGCATGGAGGACAATGTGTAAGCTTATAACAAAGGAATGGTTGGAACTTGTTTTATTGTGACTGTGATTTTTATTTTGTTGCAAAATCCCTTAATTTCCTCCAACCCATCTTTTTGTGCTCACTATCCCCTCTGTCTTTTATTATACCTCAATATCAAAGGTAATGTGGAAGGTCTGTCCCCAAGGCAATCATTGTGGGAGCTCTGATGATTTGGAAATTGTAGCCCTTTTCCATAGGATCAATGAGATAAAGATGCACATTAGACACTTCTGAAGTGAAAAATCAGAGAAGAAACCAGAAAGCTATAAAGAGATTTCCTGAAGATTTAATATACTAGGTTGTCAGACTTCTGGTAAGGTGGTGGGAGAAAAATGTGGTAACACCATGCTTCACTGGAGATTTGGTGAAAGAGGCTAACAGTAATTGGAGATGTTTCCTAGATCTGAGTGTACTGTAAGGGACCATCTGTGGTTTCTGTAAGAAATATAAATTAAGTATGATCCCAGGAAACAGAGATAAAGCATTTAGGGTTAAGTAGGGTATTTTTACAGCCTAGGAATAGGACTGTCTGCAGAACTTTAGTACCAACCATCTTGGCTATTTACTTTTTCCCTTTCTGTTTCAGTGTTTTGCCTTAAATATAACCTCATTGCTTTACAGGGGGGTTGCTGCTGATTTACACTGGCATAGATTGTGAGGAAAAAGCAAGCCCTGACTTTATAGCATTTCATTTTTGTGACCAACAACAGCATTATTTTGTTACCGAAACTAGGTAGGATTTCTAGCCTTAACTTTTAGGTAGTTTTTTGTGTTTGAATCCTGAAGTCCCCGCTTGTCCCAAATCCTCAGCACCTTGAAAATCAGGCCACTGAGTGCTGTCAGTCTGTATCACACTGTGGCTGTTGATTTGTAGTGAAAAATTTCTTCTCCCAGCCTCTACTTGATTATTTTATTTCTCAAGTCTTTTCAGCCGTTCATTCTATGGAAATGTATATTTAGTACATGTGTGTGGAGAGGAGGCACATGCTTCTGAATGAAAAATGAATTGTGCATGGGGTAGCAACTGGGAGTGTGTGGGCAGGACTGGGAGCCAAGTGCATTCAGGGAAGGAGGAAGAAAAGCTAGCCGATGAGTTGAGACGATGTGGTCTTGGAAATGGGGGACTGGTTTCCAGAATATCTGGCTATGGAGCTTGAAGGAGTGCTTTTAGCTGGTTGCAGACCCAGCTGTCACGGTAACAGCCAGTCCAACAGAACTGAGTCAAGCCACCTCTGGCACAGTCCTCTCGAGAAAGGACGTAGCTTTCTGAAGCTGCAGAAATTCCTTAAACTCATCCCTGGTGCGGTTCTGCTGAAGCGGTACCCATTGCACTGCCTCTAATTTTCACAGGTTAGAGATGGAGAGCATTTGGTAATGAAGAAAGACTGTCATTATAAGAAGTATTTTTGGCCATAATTATAGTCTTAGAAAGAAAAGAGGTAGTGAAAAAAGATGGCCTATGGTTAAAAGGTCTCCTTTTCCCTTAGATCAAAGAGGACTTCTAGTATAATATGTTAAAATAAATGGTGTTTACAAAGAAGTCTTCCTTTCTTTACACCAACTGCCTGTAGCATAGCACAACATACTACATGTATAATTAAAATACAATAAATGCACAATAAAATTAATCCTTATTAAAACTGTAGAATAAAGCCAGCATCAGTGCGTTTCTATAATTAAGCAATTATTCTGAATCCTGTGTTTTTTTCACATAAGCCTCATACTATTAACTGACTGCAATTATTTAGGACCCTTAAAAATCTGTTCTAGATTATGTTTCATTAGTCTCCACCCACCCCGCCCCCATTGACTACATTCATCAGCTTGATGGCTTGCCCAAGTAAACTGTCTTAAATTTTCCAAGTGCTCTTTTCGCAAATTGAGTTAGATGCAGTATTGCTATTAATCAGATCTGTAATGCAGGGTTTTGAGTAGTCACTTATTCCTGTAATACTCTGCTCCTTTGCAACGCATGCAGATTTATCATTCAGTTTCCCACATCCTGAATTTTGTACAACAGACAAGAGCAAGAGCTCTGATACCTCTTTCTTGTTAGGTGAAAGAACATACTTTGTAAATCAGCTTCCATCATGTGGAAAGTCATTAGTAATTATCCATGGATGACCACCCGTCTGTTTCTCCCTGCTCCCTGAAGACAGAGGTGGAGCTGCAGTTCTGGGCAAAGCCAGCTTTTCAAAGGGCTGTAAAAGGTGATAAAGCAGGGATGCCCGGGGAGGCACCTTCACTCCTGACTCTTGCTGCTCCCTCTTAGACATGACGAGTCCCTGCAAAACCCTCTTACACCTGCAGCTGGGCACCTCCCTGCAAAACCCTAGTCCCTCCTGCTCCTGAGTATACCACACCACCCATGCATGGGCTGTAGCGTACCAAAAAAGACCGGAGATCTTCCTCAGCCTGACTAATTGATCCAGTGGGGCACTGCAGGTAGGGCGCAGCAGTGCCCGCAGCCCGGGGCGGGCGGGGGACTGGGGTTTGGCACTGACTTAGAGCTAGGGTGGCAGCAAGCAGCCTTTCGTATAAATGCAGGACAAGGCCCAAATTCATACCGCTAAATTTGAAGCAAGAGGCCTAAACTGTTCTCAAACGCAGCTTCAGAAACGTGGTCACGTTTGACAGCAAAAAGAGCCCAGGTTTTTAGGTCTTCAGGGGAAGACGTTTTGCGGAGAAGGGTGTGGGCTGGGGTAGAGCTCGAAGCAGAAGGTTACCTCAGGCAGGGACGGTCAGTCTCAAAGGAAATGGAAGAAGTGTTTTTGTTTTCCTCTCTGTATGTAGCTTATTGCCACAACTTGCTGTGGCTGTCAAAGGTCTACATGGGCTCAAAAAGCCATTAGACAAATTCATGGAAGAAAAATCTGCTAAGGGATATTAAACACAGAGATGCAGCTCTTGTATCAAGACGCTACTGAACTGCAAGTTGCTCAAAGGCAAGAAGGTGTCCACTAAAGACATATCGCCGTCTGATTTTCTGGTCTGTATACTTCTCCCTAGGCGTTCATGAACAGCCACTGCTGGAGACAGGATAGTGGGCTAGATGGATCTTTGGTGACACTCAGTAGGACCTTTCTCATGTCCTCATGTAGGGTAAAAGAGAAAGTGGATGTTTGCTAATATTATCATCTGATGGATCAGTACAATTTTATCAATTTCAGCAGCAATTGGTCTGAAAAATGAGACCACTAATGTGAAAAAAAGATCATTTTATGCATAACTAAAGCCAGTAGAAACTTTCCAGCCATGACTAGTAGTAGCACCCTTCCTCATCGCAAAAAATGATAGGGAAATGAAGGCTCTAAGGCTATTTAATTGTGAAGAATCAATTAGACAAATGTGTACTCCTTTTGATTTGCTGGGCTTTTTAAATTATACAGCTGCAGACATTATGGAAGCTATGAGTATTTATATCTCAACCGTATGTGGGCAACACTAAGAAATATTAGTTCAATAAGCGTAATGATAGCTGTACTCAAATCAAAACGAAGTTGTTAAAAAAAGAAAAACCTCTTATTTATTTCCTTAATAGACATTTCTATGGTACTCATCATGGCAGAAAGAGAGTGCTGAATACTTTGAGGAAGATTAAATTATTTGTAATTACACCACAAGTGGAAGCTTTTAACCAATGGAAAAAAATGTGGAGCTACCCTGAGATTAATCCTTCTCACTAAGATGACTGCTAAATTTTTTAAGTAATGCTGTGAACTTCCCCAGCACCTTTATCCAGGCTTTCAAAATATTTTACAAATACCGATGAAGTTTAGCCTCATAACACTTGTGAAAAATAAGCATCAGTATTCCCACTGCACCAGTAAGGAAGCCAAGATATAGAGAAAGGACATATAGAAATCATGGTACTTTTGTATTTCACAGAAATTCAGCAAAACTGAACTCTATAGCAGAAAACCATGGCAGAAGGCACCATGCACTTACCTTTGCCGGCACATTTACCCAAGATTCAACCTAAGCTATGGATGAACACCCTGAGGTATACTATACTCTCAATGCATAGTTAAATTCTGTTCTTTTTCCCTTAAGATAACAACAGCAATGACAATAATAACAATTTTACTTGTATAGATATAGAATATACATAGTATACATATATAACATGTATACATGTATATGTAGCTCTCCTTCCAGTGAAGACGATCATACTGGTACAAAGGTAGTGTTTGCAGATACACTTCTTTCCACATCTAGTACATATTTTCATTTTTATTTCCTTCCCTTCTCTGTGCTTTTTCTGCCTCAAAGATCCCTCCTGGCAATTTGAACCTGTCCTCAACTCCTCAGTTACTAAAATCCCAGATGCTTTTTCAGTGGCAGCTTGTCATTAAGATTCCCTCTTTCATTTAAAAAGATCAGCCCCTTGGTCCTGCAATCAGCTCCATATGTACTGACCCTCTCAGAGATCTGTCCACTCCAATGTAATTTCAACGTCTGTCCTTAAATGTGAAATGTTGAACAGTTCCTGATTCAGCTTTTACATTGGAAAATGAGCTAAAAGAAGCTGTAAGATCCACAAGCTACCACTTGCTGTGATGGATAGGGAAGAGAATGTTTAATGCTGATTTTTTTCTCTGTTACCTTCTTATCGCTTACCCTACTTTACCCATTATCTCTTCTTCACCTATCCTCCCCCCGTGCTGCCTCACATATGCTTAGCAGAAGATGTATAACAGGTTAGCAGATCAAGAGTATGTTAACTTAATTGGTGCCATCCATGCCTTACAGACCCCAATATATTTTTTCAACACAATAATTAAAGTGGTTTGAGGCAGTAATATGCATCTTGATATATGCATCTCATCCAGAGCTTAAATGCCTTTTTTTATTCCTTCTATGCTGGCTAATATCCTGATTTTGCAAGGTAAGAAAAGCAGCTAATGGTTCCTGAATGCAGCACTCCGGACCAGGATGCGCAGCCAAAGGACCCTCACGAAACCTGCAGCTGGACAAGGAGCAAGTGCTGCCCTTCACTTCTGCCTGAGACGACCTTGCAATATTTATTTTTTGTAGGAAAGAGGACAGATTTCTCCTCTAGCTCTCTAACTATCTGTCTAGCTACGAAAGACGTTCCGTGTTTATCTCCAGTTGCTATTGAAAACCTGATTCTTCAGCTTTTAGTAAAAACACTGCAGCTAGGGATACCTTCTTCCTCTGGAAATGGCAGTGAATTCAAGAGACTCTACCCCACAACAGCTCCTGAGGCAGCTGCAAAGCAAGTGACTGCTTCTGAAAGGGAGTTAAAGCACTCAAGTGAGTCTCTAGCTCTGAATTGTCTCTCTAACCTGGCAAAATAGGCTCATTTGTGGAACTTTTTGATGGAGCGATAAACTTTCCCACCTACCTTCTGCAGCGCCAGTACTGTGTTAGGGTTGCAGCATTTGTACCAAATGGATTTTAAAATAGAGGCAAACGGCGTGTCCTGCTGCAATGCACACACTCACTCGGTAGTGAAAGACATCTGTGGTTGCAGATCCGTATGGTCCATCCACGGCCACTCTACAGCAACAAGACATTTGGTCAAGGGTCAGCAACGTATAAAATGACAGAAAGGTTAAAATTTGTTGGGCTACGTATTTTCAAAACTGAACTTCTGTTAAAGTAAAAGAGAAAAGACATGTCTAAGCTGGCACACAAATTACCCGTACAAACCCGTACATTTAATTTTCAGTGGGTGCCATTTAATAGCAAAGCAACTGTTTTTTCTGAAATGAGAGAACAAGAGCACCCGTGTGGGTTTGGGGCCTGGCCATCTATTTAAGCATGCAATTGCAATTTTCTGGCTTTCTGAAATGTGATTAGTCATATAATTGCATGTCCAAATTTAGCTGTGGAATTTGCATATTTAATTATGAATTACTGAAAAGCATCCTGTTTTAGAGCTTTATTTTCTATATTGTATATATCAAAGTAAAGAGGAACAGATTATATTAATCATTTTGAAAAGTTCTCTATAAGTGTTAAAGTAATAAAAGAGAAAGCAAGAAAGAGGTCACCATATGCAAGGAAACTACTATTTTCTCAGCTCTTTCTGAAAAACCAGTATTTCAGAAATACATTTTTGGCAATAGTACTGTACTTAATATCTGACATAAAGGCAAAATATGTAAGGAGAAACACTTGTTTATGTTACTGCGTCCTATAATGAATGTTGCTGATGCCAAGGCATTCATTTTGGTCAAAATTAGAGACGAAGAAGATTATTAAATAATCAGATCCATTCCTCTAACAACATGGAATGTAAATACACACAGTACTTTGGAGAGCTCTGTCCAGTCTGTCTTTAAATAACATAAGTGCTCTGGAAGATGGTTTCGCTGTCTAACACCCGGTCCTTAGGAAAAATGAGGTTCTTCCTTCTTTCAGATTTTCTATTGTTTTTGCTCTTTATTCCATGAATCACCTTTAAAATTCAGCTTAAATACTACAACAAAGATGCAGGCATAGGAAGAATGAAATGTTTTAACAGGAAAAGAAAGGGGGATCACGAAGCAATGGTACACACAAATATAGGGACACAACGTATCTGAAACCCTGTTGTTGCTTTCTTGAAGTGTACCTGAAGTCCTAGCAAACATTTTCACTTTCATTCATACTTGTCACGTGGTTCATTTTTATTTCAATATTCCAAATGCTTTGCAAGTGCAAATGAAACAGCTACTCAGGGATAACTTTTGGAAATGTGGCCTTGGATATAAATAAAAACCCCTTTTTTTTAATAGGTATTGTTATTCAGCTTATTGCCCAACCCTGTACTTTTTGAGCACTCAAAACTCCCTGTAAAATATGGTTAATTTAGGGTATATATGTAAAGTGCCTAAGAACTGCTTTCAGGTAAACTTTCTATGTAGTTCAATGTGGGCTTGGGAGCAATTCTCATTATTGTTAATAGATTGAGGAAAAAAATTATCTGGAAGGAATTGCAAGAGATTCTTTAATTTATCTCTGTGCAACAAGACAAGATCAATTATTTCTGAATCATTCCTTACAGAGATTTGTCTTGTCAGTCTGCTCCTAAATCCTTAGAGATTTAGGAGACAGAGATCCCATCATTGGTTTGAATGCCTTGCTCAGCCGTAGCTAGAAAGCTTAGCCAAATACAAAGACTCAGAGAAGCAGGGAGGAGAAAGCAGAGAAAGAGAAACTGAGGAAGGTAGGAAGATAGTAAACAAAGTGAGAAAAAATACTACATTTGCATTTGCCAAGGGAGGAGTAGAAAATAGGGCTATAGACTGTTTCCAGCTATGGCTTGGATTGTCCATATTCTTTGTGTCCATCTACACAATTTCGTTAGAAAGAAGTATTATACTTTTGGGGAAGGCGGGGAAAGTATTTAATTTTGGAAAAATAACATTAGCAGATTCTTGTATTATTTTTAGAATTTAAACATTTGCTGATCAGCATGATTATGTAGTACTTCTGATTGTAAGAGAAGTTAGATTTTGGGACAACGTGCTAAAACAGCAATTAAGTGAGCCAAATCCCAAAGAGGCATAATATGGAACTTGATTATTTTCACAGGAATAGTCTATTCTATGGTCTTTTCTCTCAAATTGTCCAGAAAACGCAACTAACTGTCTTTGCTACCTGTATAAATGCATGTACATTTTATTTTAGTCTTCCTTTATTAATTACAATATACATATTTTATTTCTAGAACGTTACCTTATCATTCAGTTGCTACATGGCTTCTGTCTTCTGCTTAGTTTCTGCTATATGTTATTTTTTAATATAGCCACCAATTCGGTGTTTATCTTTAGATATTGAAACCTGTGAAAAAGACTTGGTTTTTGCTTTATTGCTAGCTTAACTATTGAAATATTCTTTTTAATATATTGCAAGAAAGCAATTGAATGATGGCATTAGGCACCCTAACAAGATTAAAAAGAAGAGTCTTTATATATGACAGCACTGTTAATTTCAACCCTGCATTGTGGCCAGCAACATTTGATAACATTTTTCTCTTTCTCATTCTTTACACTGGCTGTCAATCACTTCGGACCATTTTTGCTCCAGTTCTGCTGAAATGGCATACTTCTCCTTCCAGTTGCCTCTAACAAAGGCACGGCTTTCATTTCTAATACAATGCAAAGACTGGACCAGACTTTCTTCTCTGCCTGTCCCCCCCCCGCTCCCCCTTCTAGTGTGCCTCTGTACTCAATGGTGTTTATAAGCTTTTTAGGAGAATGTTCTTTAGCATCCAAGTCCCATTAAATTATATAAATGTAGTTAAACAAGTGCCTTTTGCTGTTCAGTTTTACTAGAACTCCCTCATCAAAAGCAGTTTTCCAGGGGGAAAACTGTCCCTTCAGTCCCAGGCCCTTCACACTCCACTGGAATTGAAATGATCCTATGCCGGGCTCTTCTTTGCTGAAAATCTCCACTACTCCTGCAAGGAGCTACATGGTTTGAATCCATTACATATAGAGCCAGATGCTTAGCTGGTGTAAGTCGGGATGGACCCATTAATTTCAGCGGAACCCTGCTGACTTGCAACAACGAAGCATCAATCTTTTCCTTGGATTAAGATGCCACAGATGCATGATTTGAATGCCAATATCTTTATAAAGTGGACACCAGAGACAGAGTTGAGGGAGACTGCTGGAATGAAGTGAGGTTCAGGCAGAAGTTTCTGGGGCCACAAAATATCTGAGTAACTGAAAGGGAAAAGCTGGAAGTTTGGATGGCATGTGATGGGTGCCATCAGAGCATAAGCATACAGGCACAAAGCTAGCAGATACCTTCCAGTGTCATTTTAATTCAGTTCTTAAGCACCTGCCTGTCGAAGTGGTGTAGATATAGGTGTTAGAGATTCCGGTGATAGCGACAGAGATATAGATATTGATATGGACTTTAAATCTTGGATTAGTCATCACATCTTCTTGGTAGCTGTTGGCCTAAGTTCATGACTGTGTTTATTTGTGGGTTTTTTTAGCATAATGGCATATTTACAGATCCAGAACTACAATCAAATACTGTATCATAAAGAACACACACAAAATTAATTAAAGTTAAAATGTTAACGTTTATTTTAAAATGTAGAATTAACATTTTTAAATGTATCGTTTGTTATTCAAACCTCGGTAACATCCACGATTCCTTGAAAGCTTTTTCCTCAGCTCCGAAGGCCTTGAAGAGGGCTGCAGTCCAATCCCCGACGACCCGTATGTGAACGCTGAAGAAGTCCTCCTCGGGAGCTGAGGTGAGGGTGAAAGGGTGCCACTCCAGCTGTGAGACAGATGGGCACTGTAGAAAGATATATTGACCGGGTCCCATTTTAAAGCCACGTTTCTTCATGTGAAGCTCAAGGGCTCCAGAGGAATGGGTCACCACCTAAACGATAATAAAAGGACCTCTTTTATTTTCCTTCAGAAGAGTAACTGTTCGTTCCCATTAGGTTGCAGGTGACTTTGCAATCATTTCTACCTGAGTTCAACCACAAGTTAATGCAAACTGGGATGCACAGTAATTTTTAACTGTCTTGTAGATTATGGCCTAAACTGCATGTTGCAGTGCTGTTGCTGCCCAACAGCTTGAGAGCGAGTACCGTGTGTATCGTGGAGCAGCTTTCTTTGTGAGCGTAAGAGGCAGAGGAAAGGCTGTAACAATTCCACAGTTTGTCAACTTTCTATCTTAGCAGAGCCGATGCAAAAGTAATCCTTAACAGAGTAGAATAATGTCCCAGTTTTACTCTCATGTAACACAATTAACATGTATGGGATTATTGTTGGTTTGGCAAGAAGAAAAAAGCCCAGTGAGCTCAATTCTAATATACTTTTATTAAGAGGTAATCTCAGTTAAGCAGCCAGTTTTATATGTCACACATAGTATAGTGAGATTCTCAGATCACAGCCACTCTGTGAAATCAGCAGCAAGACTTATCCGACATGCTTTTCCCCTCATGCAAGATAAGCCTGTTTCTGATCACCAGCTTGATACGTGTGGACTTGGCTGCTTCAGTAGCGGCATTCCCCATCCATTCTGCTGTGACTTAAATAGGCCCTTAGTACACAGAGATATTTACAACTGGGATAAATTGTTACAGTGGTATTAATGAAGCTTCGACTATTTGTGCTAACTGATAATATAACCCTTAATCTCCTTGGAAGCCTCCAGATTTGAAAGTAAAAACCGTGTCCTAGGTCAAGGGCGCCTCTGGCATTTACTGCAGTGGAACATGGTTTCAGTTCATTAAAAAGACAGACCCTCTGTGCAGATGTTTATGTTATGGTGGTGTGGAGTCTGGTACTTCATTAATCAAGTTTGGTCCCGTATGGAATATTCTTATGGACATGCTATTGGAATAAATGCAAACCCTAAAATCAATACTTGGCTGAAACCATGGTAATGATGGAAAAGCTGCTGAAGTTAGGAGTGAAAAATGAGGTCAAAATATGGAGAAGTTATCTATAAAGGATAAAAAAAGTCATTGACATAATGGGTTTTTTTTACGCAGACATGCAAGCTATGTTACATACCTTAGTAATGACCACCTCCTGTCGAAATCTCCAAAATCTAACAATTCTTTCACAGATGTACAAGACCATAGGACTTAAAACCCACTTCCAAGCCTGTAGAAAGTTGCATATTAAAAAACAACATTTATTTTAATATCTACAAAAATATTTTGCTTTTCTGGTTTAAATCAACAGATAGCCTAAAATGGAATTATTTGATTTCTCTGATTTTTGGTTCGTCTTATTCAAGAGAGTGTTTTTGTTGCTACTGTAGCAGTTCTGGCTTTCTGGTGGAACAGACATATGGGACTCCTTCACAGACGCACTCCAAAAACGGTGCTAATATCTATCTGTATTCTGGCCAAGAAGAGTCCTTTAAAATCTTTTCCTACTAAAAGGCAAAAGGATTAATCTATTTAGGCGTTACATATAGATGTCATTGGGCCTGAAGACATATAGATGCATGCATTTATACAATATTACCCATAGCCTTACTATTTTTTGCTCTTCAAAGTCTAAAATATTTCAGAAGGGTCAGATAGGAGTAGCTCTTATTGTCAGCTGTGAGTTTTCTGATGCTGCATGAGAAAACATTAAGTCCCAAATATTCAATTAGAGGAATGGGATATATTTCCATTTAATCCATTAGTCAGCTCCGTATCAATAAATGTGTTTCTTTGATTTAGGATACTAAGGTGGTCATACTTTAAGTATTGCAGATGATTGCTGTGCTTGTAGTTGCTAATCGTATGTACTGATCACTATAACAAAGATACTTCGCTATTCAAGTATACTAGCTGATGATTTCACTGCGTTGCACTGATAGCTGAGATAATTAGATGCAATTGAATCCTCATGATTAAAAAAAAAATCTTTTTTTTTTTCTATAGGAGATACTGTTTTATTTCCAGTTTTGTTAATTACACAGCTCATTCTAGCAAACTGAAGACTCCACAATCATGTGGCTTTTCAAATCTCCAAAGAGTAACTTTACTTGCTGAAACATTGACTTTGCTCCACAAGCTGGGTAACAGGGGTTATAAAGTATCTTTTATGAGAAGCAAGCCATAAAATTATGTGGCTTCCTTAGAAAGTGCTAAGAGGATGGAGTGGCAATTTCCCAAGGTTAAGTCTTGAAAATTAAATTAAAAAAATGCATGATTTAATAATGGGAAGAAACCAGCATAAGCCAGAAGATTTTCAGTTAAAGCAGAAACTCAACACATCCGTTGTCCCTAAATACTACAGGTGTCTCTGCACAGTGGGTGATCTCACATGTCTTGAATATATTTGCATATATCAAGCTACAATAATGATGAGACCTGTTTTTCCTCCCTTCCATTTGTGCTACCTGTAAATAAAGGCACGTGACAGGAATGTTAAGGCTGCAGGCTACCCTGTGTGAGAGCTCAGCTGAGATCTCAAGTGTGCCATCGCTCCAGTGCAATGGAGCATTCTATCCAAAATATCTTTTGGCTGGGTTGGGACAACAGGACATCCACCAGGAGGGATGGGCTGCCAGGCAACACGGCTCCTGCCGGCTAATCAGGGCATTGGTATTCTTGCCCACGTGGTGTTTCCTCCTGTAATGAGAATGAACTGAGATGGGGCAGTGATGGCTCAGGAGAGACCGTGAGGATAAAAGTCTGGACACCCCGGGTGCAACAGAAGTGCTTCATCGTCCCCAGCGGGAGCCAGATCGGACTCCTACCAGCTGAAATATGGAGCCGGGGAGTAGATGTGGCAAGACTTAGAGAGGGGCTCCGCCATGGTAGCCTCCCCCCGGGAGCCGTGACCAACGGGGTGTGCGCTCCAGTGTCACTTCGTGCAATCCCAGCTGTGCACGAGGCTGTCCCCTCCCTGCTCAGTCACATCTGCATCTGCCCCTGCCAGTGCTGTGCAAGCCTCACCATGGCTTTTTACCCTCCGAATGAATTTGCAGTGTCTAGCAGGTATCACACCATAGCACATTACCCATCCAGCAAAGCACTGTTCTTGTAGATGATCTATATGCCATATGGTATTATCACAATTCATTTAAAGTAATGCAACTTCGCAAGTATGGCCTTGGGTATGCAGGAAAGTGTGGCAAAACAGGTTTAACACGGAGAAGTGGAAGTTCTCTCCAGTTAGCTTTATGATAATGAATGTGAAGACATGCTGTTGGAAGCAAGCTTGTGTCTGTATTCATGGTGCGTAGCCATGTATTGATTTTTATGGCGACATTGTAGCTGAAATTTTTAGAGAGGCATTCATTTTCTCATTAATATGCGGGTTGGATAGTGGCTAACAATAGTATAGTTTAAGAAAAATCTATGTCAGCCATTAAAAGAGCTACAAGACACTGAATGCTAATTTTTCTCCTTTACTGTAAGATTTCCTTTGGTATGTTTTCTGTTTTTGGAAGAAACAACAAAAACTTGCATATGAGCAAGCTAAATCTTGAGCTGTAAATGTTAAATGATTTTGTTTGGATGCTAGACATCTGACATACTGTACAAGTCTGCTACTTAATTACCCCCTGTGGATTTGCAATCTTGTTGCAGCAAAACCACCCTTCCGTGGGACATTTTTCCTGCCTTTCGCCTTTCCCTTTCATAATTCATTGTTTCAAATTCTCTCCTTTTTACCTAACTTAAGGCATCAAGGCTGGACAATGTGAAGCATGTGCCCCAAAGCAAGGACATAATTTCATCTCCAACTTACTCTTCCTTGGTATTTAGACTATCCATATTAAAGTACTATTAGTTAAAATAACAATACTAATTTGCATCCCTAGCTTTACTGTTCCATTGTATTTTCTGTATCTCTATCCTCATAAGGGTTTTACTTGAAGACTCTGTTTGTGCGATGAACACATCAAGGATATTGGTGATACTGAATACTGAATAATTAAAAGTAAGTGTACACAACAGGTTTAAATAGAGTACAATTCTGAAACCCCTACCCTTCAAAGGGAGGGTTGCCTAACTAAAGGATCTTCCAGAAGTAAAAATTTTTATTAATAACACCAAAATTTTACACATCACTCTTCATCTGTACCTGTCTATATTGTTTATGTAGGAGGTCAGGATCAATATCTTAATGCACAGGGAGAGGTCGTGGAACAGAAATGTGAAACTAGTCTCTAAACATGACACTAAGTGCCAGTCACTAGCATACATTCCAGCCCCCTACTACCTAAGACATTTGGCCTCCCAAGGAAGGACATTAAGTTAAAAACAGAAGACAAACATCACTCTTACCACAGGTTTGTTGCCAGAAAACTGCGGCAAAGGGCACTGAGGGGCGTTCTCCCATTCCAAGTAGCGATCCTTACAGTAAGTGACATTGTGAAGCAGCAGACTCTGAGGTGTCTGACCTCGGACAAGCTGACTTAAAACAAAAATGTTCATCAGTGACAAGCTTCTTTGCAAGGTTTCTATGCATCTGTAGGTTTTGCACTAGTAGTCGAATGCAGATTTGGAGATAACTGAAAGTTCAAGAACTGGCCATTTCAACCCTATTCTGCTCTCTTGTTCAAATTACCTTTCCTTTAGCTTTGCCAATGACTTTTTGACCAAATGCAAGAAGTGTGTTATAGTATTGGTATACATCAATGCAGCTGAAGTGTGGAGAGTCCTTGTGTACAAAATGTACATTTTGCTGTTTGTAGCAAAATTAGAATGATTTCCAAGTTCTTTGGAGCAGACACTTTGACCTCCTCTGTATATGAGCATCTGGTATTGTTTAGAAAAATAATAAAATTTAATAGTGACAGACCTTCTCTTTCCTTTGCTGCTTTCTAAACGCATTTTTAAAAGCTGCAAATGAAGTTGGAGGACCGTAATTAGATGTGTACTCTCTAAACATATTAAATTCTAGCTTCTTTACTTCAGAGAATCTTAATGATGTGAATTTTCCCAAACATATCAATCCTGACTGTTCAGTTTAAATGGGTTTCAGCTGGTGTTGATTATGGGTAGAGAAGGAAGATTTTTATCGGGAAACCCTGTTTTTTTCATATTGTTTCTCTGAATTTTCCCTTCCATGCTTACTTTGGCTCTACAAAGTTAGCCTGTCCTGCCCACTGGTCTAACAAGAGACAAGGAGATAAGAAGTGCTGCCGCCTTCTACATGGCAGCGTCATCGGCTGCCACCAGTTCAGACAGAAAGACAGAAAAAGAGGTAGGCTCGAGTGAGTTTTGTTCAGTCACCTGGGAAGGAGAAAGAGGTGGGAAGTGAACAAAACCTTGGGTTTTGACTCCTTTTCGTAAGTGGGGTAGTGGTAGGGACGCGCTGGGGCAGCAGGGAGCTGCTCTGTTCCACCGCACGCCCAGCCTGGGGCAAGCAACGTGCCCATTGAATGCTATCGATAGGGCTGTTAAATAAGTGTCCCCTTTTCGGGGAAGTCTCTTGCTGAGGAGTGTCAATCAGCTGGCTAGGTAGAGGGAGCTTACAAAGCTGAAGGTTTAAAGGCGTCATTATAGTTGTTTGAAATTGGATTCTAAAAGATTTGCCAGCGAGAGAGGGGAAGGGGGCCATTTTAATCAGGCCAGGATATAGTTTACAGCATTTGTTTGCAGCTGTGCCTCTGAAACTTGGGACTAATTAATTGGGCCAATTTCAGGAACACTCAAAGGAATGTGACAGCTCTCAAATCGCGAGGAAAGAGGTGAGAAAAGTAACACACCACAGAACATTGTACCGGCCTGCTCCCTGCCCCGTGGTGATGCCATGTACCTCCAGGGAACAGGCAGACGCTCACGCTGCTACGGGCTGGGCAGTTCCTCTGTATCAAAGAGTAGAGGTCTGTACATACTTTAGTGGTTGGCAATACCATCTGAATGTTTTATGAAACAGACATAAAAAGTGTATTATGATAACACCAAGTGACTCTATCCTTAGATCTGAAAACCTTTACAACAGCTCGAGGCCATGTGTACACTAGAAAGTTGGTAGCAAAAGATATATGGAGCAAAGCAGTCTTTGTTGAGGGCCTTGCACTGTGTATGTTTGAGGGTTACCTAGGGCTTAGGACTAGGTCTGATTTGATTCTGTAGACAGATCACTTGTCAGTGCTTGGCACAGAGAGATGCATTCCTGTCAGTGTAGTTTCATACCAAAACACTTTGTTATGCAGCCCGAGGTTGCGCCATAGTATGAACCAAAACATAGGAGGAGAGGAGGACCACAAGATTTGCATCAAAACCGCACTCCCTGTCTGAATTAAAATGTGAATGCAGATGCACTGCTGTAGATTCACATTAACGTTATTGCAAAGAAATGAGAAAAGGAAATGGGGGAAAGCACACAAGGGAGAAGAAGCAGAAGATGTCAGTGGAGCTGGAAACAGAAGATGGAAATGTTTTCAGCAGTAGGCACCTTTTTGCTCTCGCTCTGCATCAACAGGGGATTTATCAGCCCCTGAACTTCTCAGGAGGGCTCCCCTGACTCTGGTGTCCCTCCGTGTGAGAACCAGAGCCCTGTACCAGCAGGAAGGACCTTCCTCTTGTACTGAGGAAAAGGGAGACAATCAGTAACCTGGCAGTCATCCCCCTCCATAAATGCCACCTGACTGGGCTAGCCATAAACTTGAGTTGTTTGTTACTGTAGTCATTTAAACCTGGTTCATAGTATAGTGCCTATTTCTCTATGGTGAGGAAATTTGGGGTCCTTTTCCTCACAGAGAAAGAAGGACAAAACCACTTTATATTTATGGATGTAGAGGAGAATGGGCACAGGGACATTCACCACTGCGTAGCTGACATGCTCTCTCACAAAATGACTTACAAGAGCTATGTGCATAAGGTCTATCCCTTATTAATTTGAATCCACAAAGGTCTGATTCCTAATCTGCAATGTCCCCAGTTCTCAGGGATGACAGTTCATTTGGACTGATGCATTGATAAGATGCAGGTTGTAAGAGGGGTTGAAAAAAGTAAACCACACTTTTAGTCCTCAGAAAAGTGGTGTGTTTTAATTTCAAAGTGCTTTCATTTTGCAATCTGTCTCCAAGCAAAGATCCCAGCAGTTTGTTAATAGAAAAGCACAGGATTTGAATCGTGTTTCATCTCAAACTGTGTACATATACCCCATGTAGTTTATGCAGACACTTACCCCATACCATGGATTATTAAACCAATAAAGAAAACCACAAAGAGGTGATGGGTATACCAGAACACCTCATAGCATGACCTTCTGATGAGCTCAGTGGATGAAGTCATGATCAGAATTAAAGCCACAGTTATCACAACTCCAGTTACTCCAGCTATGGTGTTTAGTACCTCTCCTGTTGTGTTCTAGAATAAGAATACATTATTAGTATTAGTATTTGCATTAGTATTAGTAGTAGTAGTGGTTGTTGTTGTTATAATTGTTATTTTTATGACTACTTCTTTACTGTTACTATTGTTACTGTTGCTGCTATTACGTATGAAGCCAAAATCTAAGATATATTTTCAGCATAGGAACAAAATCAGAACAAGACATGGAGGCAAGGCAAACCTCCATTTTACCACAGAAGAGCATGGAAAAACATCCCTCTGTTCTATTTCCACTCAGGCTTATCCCAGACAGATGTGTAAATGTTTGCTGCCACTTATTTGTTTCAGGAATTGAAAGGAGGAAATTAGACAGTCTCATTAGTACTTTTATCTATTTTGCTTCTGTGAAAGTGTCTCAGGAAAAAAGGATTAGAGAAATGAGAAGATTAAACCTAGAGATGTAATAAGCAAAACAGCACTGGAAAACAGCTTATTCATATGAGGGTGATAAAGTGAGGTGCTAAGACACCTGCAACCATAAAGGTGTGTGGCTGTTTTGTGCTTATTTTACTTCAGTTTGCGGGTTTTTAGCAACCCTGAAATGGTGTATAAAAATGGCATGCTCTCATTTACCTAAACAGCATATCTCATTTACCTGTTCCTTACATGTACCTGGAGATATATTGGATAATACTTGGGTTTATTTTTTAAAAGACATATTTATATTTACATATATTTATGCTTGTCAGTGATGAAACATTAATAGGTTGGGCTTGAACATGTTCCTTCTTGCTCATGACTCACAGACATCAGCACAGGTCTGTTACATCTGTCTAAACTCACCAAAATAAACTGAAGTGAGAACGAAGATGTATTTTGAACACAGCAGTCAGATGCTGATCTCAGTTATAAAGTGCAAATCGTGAAGAACAGCAGTAAAAATCTCACACGCAAGATGAGATTCAAGCTAAATATGCCAGCAGAGTGTAAATGAAGTCCCCATTTGGCCTGCAAAGCATATATATGTGTTTTCCTGGTGCTGATGCGCAGGAATGAAGGCACTTAGCATGCCTTCTGGATCCTGAGTTGGTTCTACAGCTTAATACACTAGGAGAAAAAAACCCTATATTGTACTTGTAAAGTGCACTCATTTGATATGGAAATCCTAGAGGTGATAATATTCCACAATGCCATTTTTACAGTCACTTTTTACGGTAAAATCATGCTTTCAAATGTTCACACTTGATAGCACACAGAACATTTTCAAATTGGTGCCTGTGAAGAGTGTGTTCAGATCCTATTACATATTAACAGGATTGATCTAGGTGATATTTTGAACATTTCCATTAGGGTGGCTAGTTTGAATGTTGAGATGAAACAAGGAAAAATGTCAAAGACACTTAGTGCATTGCTACTACAGGGGTAGGATGAAACTGAAAAGAACGCCTGAATTGTTGCTCTCAGAACTTTCTTCTCTGAAGTTAGAAGCAATCTTTTATTTGCTTTCCTTCATAATTTATTAATTCTGAGTGTAGCTACTGAGACATAAGTGGGCGATAAAACAAATACAAGTATTAGAGGTTAGAGTAAAATCTAGGCTGGTAATTGTGGGGCATATTACTGTGAGAAATCTGCAAAAGGATCTCAGAAAATGCTAGCCTTCCTCCTCAAGGGTATTTAGGAATGTTAATTAGAGGCCTACCTCACAATTATATCACCATGGGAAGGCTTAGCGGAGAAAAAAATGCATGCTCAAAGATGGTAGGTTCCTGTTCAGAGCTGTGAGCTCTGTTCTGTTCTTGGGGAACATCTCACGTGCATGTAGTGAGAATGGGCACCAGGTGTTCAGCAAGACTGAGCAGCTTAGTCCGTGCTTGCTCTCCAGTTCTGATAAACCTAACTACTTTGTCAACACTAACATCAAGGCTTTTGTGTTCACACCATTGAGACCATCCATTTGCTTGGTTTTCTTCAAGCCTGTTTACTTGTTTGTTTTGAAAGAAGCAAAAATCACATTATCTAAACTGGAAAGGAACTGAGAAAAAATAGGACAAAATGCCTGGTAACTGAAAAGTACTATCGAATCCTACTGATGCTTGTCAGGCCATCATCTCACTTTGTTTCCGGTTTCAGTGGAGCACACCACTGACTGAAAGAGCCCCACACCATGTTCATGCAGCCTTTATTGCATGCTGGCTCTGTGGGAAGTTTCTAAAGAGCAGAAATAACATGTGTGGGAGTCTCACCAGGGCCATTTCAACCCTGGAGTATACAAGAGTATACCACAGTATACATAAGCAAACAAATAACATCTATGTGATGTATGATGGAATAAGGAAAAAAGCTGTTTAATATTTGCACGTTTTACATGCATGCATTGCAGAAAGGATCTGTTTTTCTTTATGAGTATTATAAAGAATAGCTTCTCTACCCATGCTGTTTTGAGATAGCCAAGGAAGTGGACAGGACACAGAGCCACTTTTCTTCCCCAAAGCAAGAAGAACCATTTATTTGCGGGGCTGAGGTGCGCATAGTCTTGCTTGTCTCTGAAGAGCACACACCAGCACTGGCTTCCCAGTGCACTGACTCCTATATGCAGCGATCCTCCGGGTAGTTTTGCACGTGTTCTTCCCTGGGCAGCCACATTCGACATGTAACAGCGCAGAATCAACCCCCAGATTGGGAAGATACTGTGCAACCATGGGGAGAGAAAAATAGCAACTGTGAAAAAAAAGTTATTATGTGATACTGCTTTTTTTTTCTTTCTGGAAAGAAGTTGCGTTTGTTCCATGTATTGATAGTTTAGTTTAGTTTTTTTTAAATTCTTTGCAGGTTCATTTCATTGTCTACTATTCACAATACTCCTTATCCCCCCCCCCTCAACTGTCTCCTGACAAAATAATTAAAATAGTGTAGACATTTCTTTGAGCTTAGTAACCTGAAAATTGCAGCTCTGAGTAAGTGTTTTCAGCTGAAATTGAGGTTAACCTTTGGCAGCACCTTCTCGCTCTGGTTAAAAGCCTTTGAAATACAGTTTTACCGACAATAGAATCCACAGAGGAAAACTTTTTAGATGAGGAAAACCAAAAAGTGACAGCTTACTGTTTCATAGGTCCTGATTGGGTTCAAGTAGCTTTCATTTGGGCTCTTGCCAAGGCCAGAAAGTTTATTCCGTAACTCCCCGGCTTCCTTCGACTGGCTGATGTGATACCGCTCGATGTTGATCAAGTGGGCGACGATATGGATGGCTGCATGAGAGAAAGAGTGGTGTAAAATGGCAGACACACTTGTACATGTCCACAGTGCCAGAAGGAACTTCATTAAGCACACTACGAGCTATTTGAAAAGCTTGGGCATAAATTGAGAGCTTTGCATGGGCTAAGCTGACAATAAAAGGAAAATTTTATCAAATACATGTGTAATATGAAGCAACTGCTTCACATTGGAGAGGAAAGGAACAGCTCCAGGGTCACCTCCCATGTCTACAGTCAAGTGCCCTGCAGTCTTCAGTGTCATCAAAGGAAGACCTCTTGAGAGATGATATAAATGTGTTTGCCTCTGATATTAAATCGTTCAAAATGAGGTAAACTGATTAAAATACCTATTTTTTTATTAATATACTAGGATGTGCCAAGGTCTAATATTGCTTCGCAGGACACTAACTTGTCTGTTTTAGGCATAGACCAGTTTGCAACTTGCACGAGGGAAATTTAAGAGATGCATCCAAAATCTGTCCCCTATTAACAAGTAGCTATAGCATTACTTTATGCAGGTGGAGCCTGGGGAAGCCACAGGAACTATGATTTTAAGGGAGAAGTCTGAACCACAGTGTTAGATCTCATTTGCCTTGAGCATCATACATCACCTCTACTTCTGGCCTGCTCCCAAAAGGTATATGAAATGGTCAGTTTAGAAAAATGCCTTAAAGTGAAGTAAGAACTCCCCTGTAATTCTTCTCCTGAGTGGAAAGATGATAATTTCAAAAGAGGGAAAAAGGAAGGACTTTGTTTTATTATTGGCTAACATAGATGAAGTCGTATTCATGCTAGGTGCAGAGTTTCAGTTTTCAATATGAGATTCTCAACTCCATTACAGGAAAGTTGCAATTAATGCAAAATATTAAATGCCAAAGGATGAAAAAATGGCAATGAAAAACAATTATATGTTTACAGTAGAGCTATTAGGATATGCTATTTCTAGTTTTTATGATTAGCTTCCCATTATCATCTCTCCTTCAGCTTCCCATTATCATCTGTCCTGTTCCTGTCCCTGACCATTTAAAAAACCTTTCTAAAAGGCAGTATTTGTAGTAAACCAAATATGATCTGCTTCCCTGAACAATATTCTCTCAAAAGAAGATTCTTTTTTCCTTTTTTTTTTCTTTTATCTCTTTTTGGTTTTTTTCTCTTCTCTCCTTTCTTCTCTCTTCTTCCTTCTTTCTTCTTTCTTATTCCTTCTTTCTTCTTCCTTCTTTCCTTTTCCTTCTTCTTCCTTTTTTTTCCTTTTTCAGTTGTAACTATTTGCACAGAAGCAATGTCTTACTGTGCTAGTCACATGAAAACACAGGATTAAATGCATATACTTTGGTATCGCCAAGTCCTTTAGGTGCCTATCCACTTAGTGAGCTTCCTCACTCCACATGCCAGAGTCCAGCTCCTCTGCAGTGCCTGGGGAGAGCCATGGGCATGGGAATATGAGTTAAGGTAGGATGCTAGCCCTGGAAGTGCTTAAAGCAGCCAGTCCAAAAAGGTAGAAGATTGCACTCTTGCCCCAACAGTAGGTTAGCCCATGTGTCCAGGCTGGAGAGAGGTTATTTTCACTCTTCTGAGGTGATCCTTCTAGAGCAGTAGATGTGCTGTGGTTGGTTGACTGTCAGGTTGTACTTCATTCAGAACATAATGTTAGCTTAGGGACTCCCCCCCCGCCACTCTCTAACACCTGGTTCACCTCATTGCCCCATGTGTAGATACTCACTGGGAGATGAAAGATCTATTTTAAAATCCTTGTTACATTAAATTTAAAGTAGGGCTTTAAACCAAATCACATGTCCTAGTCACTGGGCTAGACTGGTTATTCTCTTGTGAGCTGTCTCCTGATGAAACCCTTAATAAAAATAATCAAATATTTATTGACACAGGCATCCCAAGTCAGTATCCTGAGCACCCAAACTACAAAATGCAGCTCCCATTTTTTCTGAATCTTTGGCCCAATGAAAAATAAATTATTTATACAAGCTGGAATAGCTTCAGCAGAATGGAGACTGAATCCAAGTGGGTATGAACTGCACAGAGATAAAATGAGCCTGGAAATTAGAAGACAGATTCAAGCCATCAAAGGAATGAGACTCTAAAATAACCTTTCAATAAACGGGATAATGGGATCAAGCAATCTAAGCAGCTTTCGGCTGAAGGTTGGTCATTTTATGAAATAGCATATATGACGTGACTGTGAGCATTAGAGGGTATTGGACTCAGTGACCCGGCATGTCCTGCGTATGTTGTTGTGGATTAGGTGCTGCATGTCAAACAACCTGGCCAGCATCAGGCGAGAGACGCTCCCCGGAGCTTGCACGTGAGAGGGTGCTCCCAGCACCTCAGCAGCGCCGGGATGCTGGGAGGAAGACACTAGACCACAAGCAGCATGTGAGATGTGTGGATTCAGACTGTCAAAACCCAAAAGCCCGAGAGGCTCTGAGCTGCAGGGTTTAGGTGGCAGCTGTGTGGGGGCTGTGGCAATCTGTTCCCCAGTGTACAACTGATGTATAAGCAGTATATAAACACTGTTTATGTACTTAAGTGTAACAGCACTTTTAAGTGCAGAGTGGGAAGGGGGGCAACTGTTCCTACAAGAGGCTCCTTTCAGAACAGATGTTTTGGCCTGGTAAGGATGTTATCAGATCCAGCTGGAAGGGAACCAAGTCATTGCTTGATGAAGACCTGATTTCTCCGACATCTGAAAGAGCTCATGCGGAGGACAGGAGTGCAGGGTAACGGACCGTTGTCTGCGGTAGGTTGTGGCGTTACAGGCTGCATGTAGTCCGGTACTGGACTAAGAGAAAGAGGAGAGAAAACTTTCAAAGGATGGAAAGCGCTGACGATGAATCTCTGAGTGGTCTTCTACTGAGCAGTTATATCTTAGCATCTGCTAGTGATTACTGTGCAACCGGTAATGGTACTTGTCCTCTATACGTGCAGGATGCTCTTCATAACTCTGATATGGTGTAGAAGTCACCATAGCCTTGGGACCACGTGAGTTTCACACAGTTGTGATCCATAGTGTTGTTTTACCAAGGGTTACCTGCAGCACATAATCTGCAGGTTTTGGACTACCCCTGCTCACTTAAAATAGTAACATTGACTAGAGGTGGAGGTTTGAATCTGTGTTCATAGCATAACACACTTTCTCTCTTTCACCTTCAAAACACATAGATTTTTTAAAAAGTGATACTGCAGATTGTGAAGTCCTCACGTGAAATGATGACATTTCTGTTGTTTAGAAGGCTACAAAATCTTGCACTTTCCTCAAAGTGCAGGACTGTACATGAATTTTACAAATTCTAGTCATGTCAGCAGCGACAGGAAACCTAGTGCTATCCAGTATATGCCGAGTGTTGAGAGTGAAATACTTCCTAACGAAGTATTCTAGTCTTGAACAGAAAAAAAACGGGTTGAATAGATATAGCTTCCCAAGAAGGTCTCGAGCCTGGGGCTGAATGAAGAGTAGTCGTGTTGCAACTTTTCCCTGGAAGAAGAGATCCACTTTCCGCAAATTAACCTAGTAAGATTTTTCTGCAGGCTATTAAAGGACACTGTTTTGTCCATCTGCGTATTGTTCTGCTTTACTGTAAGTGTTTCCTGTCCGTGGAAACATCATCATACCTTCTTCTTTGGGATTTACCACATCCTCCCTTCTGGGTGACATTGCCTCCAGCTTTCATCTAACAGGTAGAGGATATTACAAGTGTAGATTTCCAGAATGCACAGGAGAGGGGTTTTTTCTGCAAGCTATTCTGTGGTAGCTGTTAATGTACAGAGCATAGTGACAAACTGGAAGATACTAACATTCAAACTAATGATGTACTGAATATGTTGGTTTACCCGAGTCTCCCATGATCTTAAATATTGCCTAGAGTGTTGTTAGATGACTACTTCTGATGTTTTTTTGTGTGCTGCCAGGAAAAAATGATGCAATCTGAAAATGAATTATAGCTGGATGGTAAGAGTAATGCAAAGATCTAATTCCATTTTCAGTGTGGTTCATTTAATGTACGATAGTTGTAGCAGACTAAAAAGTCTGGCACTGGATACGTTGCCATTAGCTAAAATATCCCTAAAGTGCATTTTCTGAAGGTCTTTGCATCTGCAGTGTATAGAATTTACTAAGCAATTGCAAAATTAATATGCAGATTTCTGAAATTTGAGCTTGCAACAGTTGTTTTTTTTTTTCCCTGCACCACTTAGATAAGTTTACCATAAGGCAAACATTTCAGGATTTTCAGTTCAATTTTTTCCTCATTCTGCCTGACCAAATATAAAGTACGTAATAAATCATGCAATCTTTCAAACAAAGTTCTTTTTTATAACTGTGCATGAAGACTGAAGGATTCTCACTGTTGTTTTTAACAACATCTGGAACCTCTGAAGCACTTAACATACATTAATTTGTATTTGACCCCAAAATGTTCTATCTAGTCCACCTCTGCGATCAAATAAAAGGTTTTATTGGAAGGAGGGAGGGAGGAAAAGGGTTGCTGTTAAGGCATGGTGTTTACTGTACATATTCTTAAATACAAAGAGATGTAATTAAATTATCTTGAAAATCTGGTCAATTTAGCTAGTCTTATTCAGCCAATTGTGCCTTCAGTGAAGCATGCACAACTCTCATTGAACTAAACAGAAATTGCATGTGTTTATCTGAGGACAAGATTTCACTCTCTCTTTTTCTGCATGCCTGTACAGGATAATAATCAAATTGGAGCTTGCTGCTAGCAGTTAAATGTTTTGGTTAACCAACCCATCATGATAAAATCAAAGGGTCAAATCCTGGCCTTTCTGCCCACAGTGAAGAGAACGGCTTTGCAAGTGGCTAACCCAGGCATGGGGAATTTTGCCCCCGACCAAGCCCGGGTTCTTTTGCCATGCACTGCCTTGTGCCGTTTCTAGTTACACAGAACCCTTAATTCAGCTTCATGCTGTCTTTGTGGACTAAAAAAGTGCAGGTTATGTAAAAATTACAACAATAGTGACCACACACATACTTGCATTGGGTTTTTTTTTTTAGAATGGTTATAAACATCAAAGAAGAACATGACTTAGACCATTTTTTATCCTAGCTGGAAGCTTATAATCTTTAATTTAATGTAGTTTCCTTCCTAGTACTTGCACCAAGTCTGGATTTAAACAATCTGACTGAAAAAAAAAAAGCAGTTTAATGGAAATTTCATTTTCTGTAATTTCTGGAAGTACAACACTGAGATATCAGCTAAACCTCTGTTGAAGATAAGCATCTGCTTCCCTGAAAACTTCATCGCTTGCTTACGCAAAAATGTGACTCAGATCACCAAAGCCCTTGACATAGCCACCGCTACGAAAATGTGGTTGAAAATGGAAAGGTTTTCTAGTATTTTTAGCTATAGATTTTTCAGTGCTTGTCAGAAGCCAAACACACCTGGCATCACCATACTTCTCTCTGCATTTTGCAAGTTTTGAAAGAAAATTGCACTGCTGGAATTTTTAAGGAGCAGGAACCACCATTTCAAACAGCCTAACTACAAAGAACCTCGCCGTCCTTCCCCTATTTTCCCCTAATTGCTTAAGCTTTATTCATATGATAATTCAAAGACTGTTGGAGCAATATATCTATATAACCTTTCTGCAAACATCAAAACAACACAAGAAGCGGTTTCTTCTTCAGAATATGCACTGTATGTGAAAGTAAAAAAAAATACATCCCCCCAACACTCCCTACTTCAGAAAATGCGTGAATGTGCTTTCTTAAGAGGGTAAAAACAATACGGTAAGAGGGAGGACTTGTACAAAACGCTATTTACTATCTCTTGTAGATATCTTTAGGTTACAGACAACCGCCTCTCAACAGAAAAGACTCGTTTGCATTAGAAAGCATAGAATGATTTGCACTGATCAAACTGAGAGTGCATGAAACTATGATTTTATTCTAGCAGAGTTACGGGTCTATAAGGAAGATTTATTAGTGGGTGAATAACTCCCAGACAGCTCTTATCACAGACAGGCATGCAGAACGCAGGAAGCCAAACTAAGCAGAATTCCCTTTACTGAATTTTCAATGATGCCCTTGATTATAGATAGCATTGTTTACTCTCTCTCTTTCCTCCAACTTCCCTCTTCCACTAGTCTCTAATTATACCCCTTTATGACCTGACCAATTAAAGCCTGCTCTTGAATTTGTATTAGAGCTGATGAAAAATTAAAGGTACAGATGTACTTTTTCCAAGGGCATGCGCACTTCAGCTGATCTGGCTGCCTGTTAGAAGCCAGACAATACTAATGTTGCACTGACTATTTTTAGCACGCTATTAAATAAATATGCTGGAATAACACCACCTGGCAAGCTGAGATGAATACACGTTACTTTAATAATAAAGGAGTCTACAATTTTATATTGTGAGGCTTAGCTTACTGAGCTGATCTGCAAATTGGTTTAACTTCTTGCTGCCACATTTAGGCTATTGATCATACAGGGAAGAACATTCATTTAACTAAGAATTACTAAATTGCAATAGACTAATAGGAGTTGACTATGCTTTTGCCTAACAAAAGGCAATATGGGTAGTACTTGGATAAATAATGTGTCAGCTGAGAGGAAAATGGCATCTATTTACACATCATTTTAACTCTGTTAGATTTTATGAAAAGAGACTCAAGATACTTGTGGGTATCTCTTTGCTCTGAAACGTTGCTTTTCTGTCACAATATGTGCTGTAGACTGTATTTTTTTAATGAACTTGAAATTTAATTTCAGGCAACTGAGTTTCTGGCCAGGCCATTCTTTACTCATGTCTGACTATACAGTGATGTAGTGTTTTCCCAAATATGATAGTTGTTTCTTACTTGCCTGTTAGGGAAGCATGAGTTCATAAGTTGTCATGTTTTGTTCTTTAGACTTCCCTTCTATTTTGTTTTCTTCCTCAAATATCTCATCAACCATTTGTCCATTTTGTATTCTGGGAAAAAAACCCAACCCAAGTAACAACCCAAGAACAAACCCTCATTTTCTCCCTAGAGAATGACAGAATTAAATAATGGTGCTTTCCGACATTTCACATCAGCTGCTGTGTCTTTTTCCTTGGAATTACTGAAGCCATAAAGTAATCACTTTTCTGATAAACTTGCGCTTCACAAACTGTCCACCTTAACGCACTAGCAAACATTTTTACATGAATGTAAAAACCAAAAACATAAAAGGTTTGACTGTGCAGTTTTACTTTCTTTTCGGAGCATGACAGATTATACACCGAGTAGAAGTTGGTTAATTTACATTCCTGGGTTGATTTGTTAATTAAAGAAGCAATGTTGCGTTCTGTAGGAATCTGCTTTATGCTGAAACTGAACTCTGATAAATGAATGGACATGACAGATAAGTAAATCATCATAATACACTGTAAGATGCACTTTCTCATCCCCCAGCCTTCCCCTCTGAATTCTTTAGCACTACATACAAAGGAGAAATTTTAGCTATTGATTCCTGATGGCAATCCTGACTTCATATTCTTGTCTCACTGCATGGGGACATTAACAGCCTATACCTGGGGGTAGAACTGTTACCCTGCAATGTCTTGTGCTTGCAAATAACCCTGATTAACTCCACGTTAATGTGTCTCCTTCACGTTTTCTAAGAGAACTATCTGCCCCAGCTACCTCTCCACCTCTATGTGCTTACATCCTTCCTCGTATTACCTTTTGCTCTTCCTTCTCTGTGCATCCCTCTTCCCCACGCTATCTCCTGCTCCCCTCATGTCCTCTGAATTCCTACAAGCTTCAGTCTTCTCCAGGTCCTTTAACCACTTGGGGAACAGAAAGGTGCCATGTCTTCTTCCCAGCCAGGCAAATGAACACCTATAGCTCTGTAAGTCACTAGGACCAGCAGAACAGGTAACTTTTGATCTCAAGATGCAGTTTTTCCCTCAGGGGGGCCATTAGTTCCCTGTACCCATCACCTATTTAAAAAAAAATTATTTAGGAATTTGATGTTTTTGAGACAGCTGCTTGTCTCAAATTCAGATTAAATTTATTACCTGCTTGAAAAATTATTGAAGAAGATGTAGCGGTGGACAGATGAGCGGTGTGACTCGCAAGCACCATTTCTTTTGGAAATCAGACTGTAATGCTATGTCATCTCCCCAAACATCTACTCTGAGGGATTTAATGAAAGTTATTTACACTAAATGTTAAGAGTACACAAGGTGGTTGCATTAACTAAATGGCAACTAGTAGTTACTATCCAGGTTGAAAGTTTATTGACTTAACAGTCAAACTTTGCTCAAGCAAAAAAGGTTACAAATGGTTAATCAGATGGGACTCCTACACCTATTTAAAGCTGCAGTCACCAAATTACACTAAAATAGCGTGTCTCAGAGGTGATGGGGATTACAGCATTAGGCAGAATCATTGTGAAATTCAAAACAGTTCAAAGGCAAAGAAGAAGAAAAAAAGCTTACTTGCATTTACAGCTATTCCATAGGCAACCATCTTGTGAAATGCGATGTGTTTGTCAAGCTGTCTCCTCAGTGCTCCTCCACAGCACTTGGTGAAAAAGCAGAACTTGTTTTATATAATTTCTATCACTATTTACATTTTGGAGAGGAGAAGAGAGGAGTTCGGTACATTTAAAAATGGAAAGTTGAAGGAATACAGTGGAAGTTTTGGGTTAACTTTAACTTTGGGGCTCAGGTAACTGTTTTCGGCATAGTGACGCTCCAGGATTTCTTAAGCTATTCAGCCTATGTAGGGGCTCAAAAACAGGTTTGATAAAACTCTGCTACATTTAGCTGTGAATTGTCGGTGGTTTATCTGGGCTGCTGATTAACTCGTTTGCTGGTATAAGGACACCAGGGTGGGCCACCACTGTTTTGCAAGCTCAGGTTTAGCTGCGCGAACACAGCTGAGCTGCTGGCAAAGCCCGCCTGCAATGAAAACATTTTCGCTGCTTTTATGAAATGCACACCCCAGGAGGGCGAGGCTGTCTAGACCTCAGGTGGCTGCAGGCTTATGTGTTACTGAGCCATCTCCCCATTACTGGAAGTGCCCCCCGAGGGGGGTGTGCTCACGGCCAGCTGGGCGCCTCTGCGCAGAGCCAGCCTGCCGCCGGGGCGGGCTGCGGTGAGCCAAAACGAGCACACTCTGCTGGAACCTAGGCAGCCCTCACGGACCTAATTCAGTCTCTGGATGGGTGTCTGGATTGCTCGCTTGACCTGGCACAGTGCCATGCCAAAGATCCTGGCATTTATCCACGTTTTTTCCCAGCTAATAAATCTTCCAAAAATCTGGAGCACCGCAGGGCGCAATGCCAAGACACAGCACCTCCTCGGAGAGTCACTGGGTCCAGCCCTGTCCTGACCATGCTGGAGCCAGTCAAGTTGCTCTGTACCATGCTCCTCAAGAGCAGAATATTGTCCAGAAGAGCAAAATATTGATTATCTGTGAGAAGAGTTCCAGTTCTCTGAGTTCTTACTCAGCATCTAAGTGGGCATGCATATATTTTATGTTAATTCACAAACTGATTCAGAAGTCCAACAAGACTTTTTTTCTTAAATGCTCGGCTCCTGGACTCAAACAGTCATAAAAGTGTTGATTCCCTAAAGACTGCTTGAAATGTAACTCTAACTCTGAAGAAAAAAAAAAGGCAGAACTGAAATAAGAACCAGCTTACAATAAAATAAATTAGTGTTACGATTTCTAAATTCCTGTTGTTCTTGGAGTCATGAAGTGATCAGTGATTTTTTACCCAAACGTGGTATTGGAATTGCTCTGACTATAATAATTCACTGCAAGTTGAAGCTATAACTAGTAGAGCTAAAGACTTAAGTTCTTCCTATGCATAATGTAAATGCCTCTGAGCAGATGACCATTCCATTACAAAAACATGTTTATAAGAAAGGAAGACCTGAATAGTGGCCACTCAGGCAGAAGGGTTTAAACATGTTTCTTATTATCCTTATGACACTTCTATCTATCCGTACATTTGCTCTCTCCAATTTTCACTTTGCAGCTACACAGGATACACATCATAGATATGTATTTTCTCCATTTGGCCAAGTTGCATTATACGTCCCTTTTTTGTAGCTCCTCACTTTTCACTTCATGACACCATGCTATGCAGCGGCTGCCAAAATCAGTGTTGCATTTAGAGCACTGTGTTAAACAAGCCATTTGTTTCTCTTCAGTCATGAATACTGACAATTTAAATGGTAATAACTAGGCAATAGTGTACAGACTTCTCTATCAAAAATTAAAATTCCTTGGAAAATGTTTGATATGGATAATACTGCTGAACTACTGAAATAAAAAAAGGAGGATAATATGGCTATTTGAGAAATGGTACTTACAATGCTTGCTCCTCTTAAGAATGAAATAAGGTTTCTACTGACTGGTAACAGGATTAGCATGCAGTTAAAATTAAGGCACGTTGCAGAAGCTCTTGCCCAAGCCAGGGTTGACTGTACATATAACAGTATAAAGAAATTAAATTACAAGCTTGGTATAGGAAGAGCAAAAGAAAGAAAATACTATATTAACATAATACTCTTATATGGGAAAATTACTGTTGAAGCATCAAAAATATTATTATGAAGGATGTAAATAAAATCACGCATACATTCTTCTTGTGGAGCCCTTTAACAATCAAACTTGTACTTACTCCCAGCATAATCCGTGTATAAATGTAAGCATCTTCGTCTTCATACCAGTGGAAGGTATCAATAAACAAATAGAAATTCAGTCCCAGCCACACCAGCTACAAAGCAGACAGGCTACAGATTAGTGACACTTACAGTATTTTTTAATACATATAAAACTGGTTATGGTTATAGTTTTAAAAGTATCTGAGAGATACTTCAAAATCAGTGTGCAATGCAATTTCTTGATCACAGATGATAGAAATCACAAACGCCTGCTGGAATGAGGCTATTTTTTAGCAAATGCAGGATTACAGCCCTATCCCTACATCCCCGGTAGAGGATATAGATGACATTTACTGTTTGATGGTAAACTTGATCTTAAACACAGGGCTTAGCCTGGTCTCTAAAGAGGCAGTAAAGGCTAAAATTAAAGAATTCCAGAAATGGAGGGAGTTAGGAGCTGAGGAAGATCCTTTCTGTGCCCCCCATACTCAATTCACCAAAGCCTCTGAAAATAATTCAGAATATAATTTCAATTACAATTGCAAACCCCTGTTCCCTTTTTCTGAGGACTAAAGTACACGGACTTAAAAATAATTAAAAATAAACCAGTAAGACTTTAAATTGTTTTTAAGACTAGTTATAAAAAGGCTGCTGAATATTTTATAGCAAGTTTTACATTAAGCTTGGGAGTATTACTGTAAGCAAACCATAAAATGTCTTTTAAACAAGCTTAAAATATTTATATATATCCAACTAGGGTTTTTTTAATGCTAAAAATACTCACTAATAACAGCACTGAGAGTTTTTCATTCAAAATCCAGCATCCCATCCTGAGCGCCTCTCCCTATGCTAGCAGCAGCTAGCTTGCCTTCCAGTGTAACCTGAGTTCTCCGTCCATTCCTCAGGCTTTTCTACTAACTCCTTTTGTCTTTAGATTTTAATAAGCACCTAGTGGGAGCAGGAGCTCTCTCTAGGAATTTTCTAATTAAGGACTGCCTGACAAGAACAGATCACCCAAGTGACATGTCTCATGACCTGTGTAAATAAAATGTTGGTCATTGTCCAGTCCTTTCTCTCTCCAGAGTTATTTCTCAGCAAATGAGAGATGCTGTCATTAAATTGTCCTCTTGTACTAGCACATATTTGGGTGGGTTTTTTTGCTTTGTCTTTGCAGTTTGAACAAAATACAGCATTTCTTCATGATTTGGCTTTTAACGTAGTAGCAAATGGGAGCATCCCGTATGTGTATATAAGACGGGAGCATTGCTAAAAGATCTTGGGAGTGGCAAAGTCACTCAGTCAGAAGTTGGGAATTGTCAGAATAAAGGGTGCCCCTCTAACATTCATCTGGATTTCTTGCAAATATAGATTATGACAATGTTAAAATGCATGATAGTTTTTCATTCATTTGGCTGCAGTCATAAAATAAGCAGTTACTTTCTCTTTTGCCTGTTTACATTGTTCGGCGTAAGGACACAAATCCTACGTCCTTCCCGCCCTGCTAGGAGGAGAGAAGTAACAATTAATTTCCTCCTGGGCTTCTCTGTCAAGCCTCACAAACAGCAGCTGCGTTCACCCATGACCTGTGAGGTGAGGAGAGGATGCCTATTTCAGAGGTCTGAGCACAGAGGGGTTAGGAAAAACTGTCCCCCTTACTTGCACATGTGGCTTGAGCAGCCCGGCAGGTCCTGTGGCTCTCCATGTGCTCCGGCCCCTGCTCCCACATTTTGTCTGCAAAGTGACATTGCTTTGGCAGGACTTACGGTACTCAGGAAATATAAGCCTCTTCCAAATACAATCCACAAACACTGTCCAGGGCTAGAGCTTACCCATTTTTTTTTTAGGATTTGTTTTTATTTATAAAACCAGATGTTCCTTTTCCTGATTGTCCTGAGGACTGTTCAGCCTACTTCCTTCTCCTCGGAGGTTTACTCCTGCGAAGATCTAACGAGCCATCTGCAAAAATGAGTCAGCAGCATTCAGTACCTCTCAGCAAGATCAAAACCTTTTGAGAGGCCAGTGTTAACAGAGAATGCTGTTAGTCTGTTCAAGACTTTTCTTTAGTAGGTGGTTATCTCAGCAGCCAGCACCATGATTATATTCAACGTGAAGAGCACATTTTCTGATTTGCCTTTACTAAGAGAGAAGAATAATTTATTGACTTTTCTGCACTTCTCCGGAGGGAAATCCCTTCCCCTTGGTCTCCCTTACATCATGGAACTGGCAACAATTGGGGGAAGGAAGAGATTGCTTTGCGACAGGGTCAACTCCGCTGCAGGAAGGTCCTCCTGGCCGACCAGGTCTTAGCTCCTCTTTTGTCTTGTCCTGGTGAGCGCACTGCATTTACCCTTTGCTCCGCTTGCCAGAAGACATGCAACCTCTGCCTGTAGTAATCTTGTTCCTTCCCCAGTAAAACCATTTTCTTAAAGCCTGCCTGACTTGGCTGCAAAAGAGACCTTTCTGTGACAAAACAGCTTAAAATTTCTTAAAGTTGAAATGCTATTAAGCTCAGCTACTTTTTAAACCAGTGCTAATGACCATTAATGAGTTAGCAGAACCATGGCAATGTGGTTATGAATATTCTGAATACAAGCATTTACAAGGGGTTTATTTTGAGCTTTATTTTTCTTGGATGGTAAAATTAAGCATTATTTATTAACAAACTTTATGACAAGCCATGTGCAGTAATTGGCCACTGTCCATTGTGTGACTTGATATAGGCTGTTCCCACAACCCCCCTCTTTATAGTAGCTTTGGTAATGCAGGAGCTAACAAGATAGTGAGTATTGCTGTATTTTTCAGAGAGGTCAAAAGAAGAGGAAATAAGGGAGAAGGGAAGAAGAATGTGCAGAGGGTGAGGAGAAATACTGGTAAGGTCAGATGCCAATTTTAACTACTTAAAAAAAAAGGGGGGAGAGAAAACCCACTATCTGGATTAGCTGCACTTCAAAGGGAAATGCTGCACTGCGATGTTCTGCTTTGAAGTTCAGCCGATCCAGACAGCAATTTTCTAAAATGAGTCAAAACTGGCATCTGAAATAGATTTTTTTTCAGAGTACAGCAGATTCATATGCTGGTTTAGGCTCCAAAATTTGTCTGGATCAGCAGCTGTACTTCAAAGCAGCACATCTCAGTACAGCATTTGACTTTGAAGTGCATGTGGTCCAGATGCCAGTCCTCTTAAAGGAGCCGATGAATCAACTGCACTTTATTTTTTGTCTGTCGAAACAGCTATGTTTTTTCTTATATATAACGGTGATGTGTGTGGTCTCCAGTATGGTATCTATCAATAAAAACATAAAGCTAACACAAAAGCTCTTTATTGCTTCATTTTCTACAAAGGAACTGGTTATCATCATTTTATTATACTGATTTGCAGTGATCTCAGCCAATTTCTAGCACAAACTATTCAGACAAGACTCAGGAAAGGACATTTTATTGATTAAAGAACTAACTGTATTCCATTTTGTTATTGTTTTATCATTATCATGAGCTGCAACTGTTCTAAAAAGGATATAGAATAAGGATGAAAAGGGATTTGTTCTGGCAGTTGGGGAAAAAGCAGTGATGGGCATGCTAAGTTCCCGTGCAAGAGACAGGCAACTCTGTCATTAGCTTAAAAGGTCAGCTTTTGCATGGAAAGAGGTTTATGAGGTGCTGAATTCTTCCATGTAAGTATCTCAGCATTAATGTCAATGTTTATATCAATTACTGCTACAGATCTCAATCGCAGTTAGTTCTATTCTGTTTGACAGCAACCTCTATCTGAGGTTGTTAGTAATTTCTTTAAAGTACTTTCAACAGTGCTTACCCTTTACAAGACAAATTAATTATAAGCATGAAACTGTATATATATACCTATATATATTTCATTTTGCTAGGCTATCCTAATTTTACTATTCGATATGCATGCCTTGTTTCTCAAAGGCAAAATCATTTCAGTTGACTCTGAATTCTGCCCTAGTCCTTTGGTAGTTTTCCTGTGTGCTTGACTTTATGTCTGTTAGTAACCTGGATGAACTCGACAAGCTTCACTATGCTACATATAGAGATGGCATAGGTAACCAAATGATCCAGAGGATCAGAGTGGTTTAATTTTGCAGACCATCCGATAGCCATTTAATTGCTGACTATATCAGAGTGTACACTTTGTATTAGACTGTACAAAATGGTGGTGCTGCAGTGTTCTCTAATTTTTACATTATTTCTACATAATGATTAAGAAGTGAGAGGCAGATTTGTCTCTGTTGAATGGATGAAAAAGCTGCACAATATATTTGATAAACCATTCAACTTTTGTGGAGAGAGAAGCTGCTGAAGCTGATTAGAGTGCAAACCTTTTCCTTTTTTTTCCTCTTTTTTTCTTTTAAAGACAATTCTGAAAGAACAGAGGCCAAGGTTCAGCTTTGGTTGTTCTTCAATGCTCTGATTCTAGCTTTGTAAAAGAAGCTTATTGAATTTCTATAAACAGTGGCTGAGTGACTAGGAGCTGAAAAACAGCTATATAATTTTTAGAGATTTTCTTATAGTGTTGGTTTTTTTTTTTAATTTAACTACCTCATTAATGTTAATGTTTTGGGTTTTTTTTATGAACTGTACTCACATTGTGGATGGGGGAACTGTTTTAAAGTTTGAGAACATTCAAAAAATCCCTAAAGGTCTAAAAGGCTAATGTAATATCAGCCTTGTCAGTGCCAAAGATTCAAAAATCATCAGATTGTTCTAAAATTTATGAAATTAAAAAAAAAAGAGTGTGCAGTTTGGGGAAGAGTGCTGACTGAGTACTGAGACTTCAAGGGCATCTGGCTTCTCATTTACAGCTTTTTTTCCGTAACAAAGTGTTTATTTTTTAATAAAATATTAAAAATCTTGGCCCCAGAAGTGGGCTTGAACAACAAAAAAAATCACGCAGTTATCAAAACACTTGTGATGCAGCTGGCAGAATTAGCAATGGTATAGCAAGTATTGACTATGTCCACAAACCCAGTCATTGGTCACAAGGCACAAAATGGAGAGAAAGACTTCTGTCTCTATCCAGAAAAGCAGAATAAAGTTTCAGAACCGCTTTAAAAAGAAGAAAAGTCTTTTGGTTGTAGGTCCAGCTCCTCTTGAACTCCACAATTCAGTGCAATAAAACAGACACAGTCCCATAAAGCAGTTCCTTTCCCTCTGTTAGCAGACCTGATACTGGTATCAAGGATATCTCAGCTGATGGGCAGTGCCGGGATCTGGAATCGCAGCGTACACCCACAATGCCTACAGGAGTCAAGAAAAGGAGTTGAAAGAAAAGTGAAATGAAAAGGGTCTGGGATCAAAATCAGAAGTAATGAAGGCTAAAAGGGAGGTTGTCACTGACCAGTGTGGAACAACTGTTGTTACTCCCTGAAGCAGGGCTCGGCACCCTGTTTGCACAGGGCAACCCCAACTCTGACTCTTTCCACAAGCCAGCAGAAAGGTTTATAATCAGTTCCCAGCCAAACGATATTAAAATTTGAATCCAAACCTTTTCTCTTTCAAGGAGGTCCTTTATTATCATGCTCACACTGTAATCAAAATATATTCAGGAGCAATTTGAGATGTTCAAAAGCTATTTGTTTCAGTAAGTGCCAAAATCTCCCAGCTCTTGACTGTGCATGTCCAGAAATAGAGTATCCTACCTTCCTAATTATATGTGCAAAATGCTGGTTTTCCCACACGAGCTGTTTTCCAGCTTAACAAAACAAAACAACCCCTCAAAGCAGCTGAAATCTTGTACAAATAGGTGTATCCACAGGTTACCCAGATGAATTTTCCTTTTAGCTGTTTTGTAGGTAGCAAGCTGTGGAAAAC